GTTTATAATGGCAAATGATACTTTGAATATTACATGTTAATAACTTGATTGGAATTATAACCTTGAGTTGACAGTTTGATACTTTGAAAATTTTGAGCCAGCCCTACCCCCAAGGGCTGTAGGGTGGGGCTCAAAGGAGTCAGTGTGCTAAAATTTCTTCATTTTCCTTGTTTAGAATCAGAGGTGCTAGTTTCAAATACTTTTTAGTCTGAAATCTGTATGCTAGATATTGAATAAGGTGGTTTTATTGTTTTTTGTCACTTTGAATAATATTTCTGTTCATGTTTAAAACAAAATCAACTCTCTGAATAAATATATCAGGTGACCGTTAAGGCCCATGGGCCTCTTGTTTATAGCATATCAGCTAACCACTCTTAGAATGATGCAGATCTTATTTCAATGTAAGAAAGTATATAACACTTTATGGCATTCGACGGGCATATTTTGTTCCGCCCCGCGGTAATCTTGTTAAATGATTTAACAAATGTGAGGTATCAGCTTAGACTAAATAGAGTTTTTAACCCCCCGGTATGTAGAACTGAGAGCTACTTTATTAGATTCTTTCCCTCAACCTTTCGACTTTACAATCAGTTAAACCCAGATATTTTAAATGCTCAATCTCTTCCCCAGTTTAAGAAACTAATTAACAAAACTAATAGTATACCAACAGTACCAAAAGTACAAAATAATTAATACCAATATTACCACTTTGGTAATATATAGAAAGTCTGAAAGATTTCAATCAAACTATATTTAAACAAAATACTCACTGCCACATAATGATACTCAGACAGTGGTAAAAAAAAACTCTGGTAATAGAAAAATCAATATCATACTATGTCAAATTAGAAATAATGCTAGCAACTTAAACTTTGACCTCTTTAATGACCATCTATTAGAATCTGCTTCATGTGAGTGTGGTTATATACAGAAAACAAGTTATCCTTACGTCTTTGACTGTGCCAGATACAACAATCACAGACAATTACTCTCTGCTACTCTACCCAATGATAATCACTCGCACTATACTATACATACTTTACTAAATGGTTGTAACCATTGTGACAATAAAGCCAATAAAAATATCCTAGAGAGTGTCTCAACCTTTATCTTGAACTCAAAAAGATTTATATAACTATAATTATCTATATCTATTATAATGTACTATAAGGTACTATAATGCCTTACCAGATTTATATAACTAGAATTATCTATATCTATTATAATGTACTATAAGGTACTATAATGCCTTACCAGATTTATATAACTAGAATTATCTATATCTATTATAATGTACTATAAGGTACTATAATGCCTTACCAGATTTATATAACTAGAATTATCTATATCTATTATAATGTACTATAAGGTACTATAATGCCTTACCAGATTTATATAACTAGAATTATCTATATCTATTATAATGTACTATAAGGTACTATAATGCCTTACCAGATTTATATAACTAGAATTATCTATATCTATTATAATGTACTATAAGGTACTATAATGCCTTACCAGATTTATATAACTAGAATTATCTATATCTATTATAATGTACTATAAGGTACTATAATGCCTTACCAGATTTATATAACTATAATTATCTATATCTATTATAATGTACTAATAATCTTAATGTTATAAACATAAACAGCAAACATACTTATGGTTATAAATAGCACTTACTATAAACACAGTGTGAATATGATATACTCGCCCCTTAAATCAACATGGACTTGTATTTTTAGCTTATTCATAATATTTAATGTATATAAGCCTAATATTCAACTACTTATGAGTCACTCTGTGTGTATTTTGAACTCCCAGGGAGTATTTAGTAAAGGTATATGTCTAAAACTGACTCATTACTCTGGTGAGGTCAAGACGTAGTACAGCTTGACTTGTGACCTTTCATAAGCAGTTAGAGTTATCTCCCCTTTACCATACGACTTGCACTTTGTATATATATAAGTTGTCTTTTTTCAATTTTTCATTTCACTATAAATTATAATATATTTATATGCTGATTTATACAAATGCATGCAGGAGAGAACTGATATAGGCATAGCCTGTTGTTCAATCCAATTCATACAACATCATGAATAAAATTTGTTGAAATGAAATGAAAGCCTTGGATCTACTTCCAATTCTGCACCCACGTGTAGAACGTCCCTGTCCTCCATACCTACAAATGCCCGACACTATTAATCCTGATTGCTGTCAATATTTCTGTTTACAGGAGAGAAAGAGTCAAGGCTCTCTTGGTGACAAGTGTACACTATGTCATGAGAAAGTATATTTGCTGGAACGACTGATGGAGAACAATAAACTCTACCACCGTACATGCTTCAGACAAAGTGACCTATCTCCCACCAGCAAGATATACACACGCCCGATATCACCTGGTGGCCCCAAACCACGCCGTGCTAGGGACAGTGAAAAATCTGGTAATCTTGTTGCTAGATTGAATGAATTGAAAAAAAGTACTGCTTCTATCAATCGTTGTGTTGATCAGAAGAGAAACATTGGCCCTATGCCAGTATGGAAACAGTCCCATTCAGACATGGAATCTGATTCTCCAGGCACAGGTATGCCAAGGGAAGAATTATCACACAAAGTGTCACCAGTTAGGAACCTCGGTGAGAATCAAAATATTGTGCACATGGACACATCAGTGAGGGACAAGTCCCCTGTGTCCCCGGGGTCTCCTGTGTCTCCTGGGGCTAAACCCAAAGCCAAGCCTAGGGGCAGTATCAAATCCAAAGAGGATGTAAAATCAGTCAAGAAGGAAAGTGTCAAAGCTCCTCCCAGGAAAAAAACTTTTAAATCATCTGACACATCCTCTAATGCCGATTCTCCACGTGCACCTGCCTTACCAACTTCCACACCTCCCTCATTACGACTGGCTGGAGACTTCCAAAGTCCTACTTCCCCTTCTCCGAGGCCTGTTCTCAACAAAAAAGGTCCACCACTGGAAACTCTGCCACCTTCCACAACAGCCAAACATTCCTCAGAACTGAATTCTTCTCATAAACCCAGCTCTCCCCATTGCTTCAAATATCCTTCAAATTCTGAATCTCCCAGGGAAACCTCAACATCTTCAGTGAATCTCAAAACTGACAGAAAAATTCATTCAAAGATTGAAGAAGAGGATCTTATGATAGACAATGCACCACGCAAGCCTCCCAGATCTCTACCAAGGGGAACAACTCCAAGGGATGTGGAGCAAGCTGTGAAGTTATCAGACCATGGTTTCTTTGGCACAGTCAGCCCAGGGACAAAGAAGGGTCACAGTGATAATGTGCTATCAGACGATGGTTCCTTTGGCACAGTCAGCCCAGAGACAAAGAAGGATCCCAGTGATAATTTGCTATCAGACCATGGTTCCTTTGGCACAGTCAGCCCAGAGACAAAGAAGGGTCACAGTGATAATGTGCTATCAGACCATGGTTCCTTTGGCACAGTCAGCCCAGGGACAAAGAAGGATCCCAGTGATAATGTGCTCAGTGGACTACTCAAGAATCTAGCAAATGTAAGATACAAAGGGGATAGTGCTAATTCCTCAAAACACAATGACAAACTTGCCGATCTAAATACATCAGATACATCTGACAGTGATCGGCCAGTAACATTGTCTGGCAGAGCAAAGCCTCGTGTCATGAAACGGGCAGTGATAACCAGCAGCAAAATCGAGGTCATGTCTGTAGTGAAGGATGTCAAGGGGATGGAAGGGCCCACAAAGCAAGCTGGAAAAAGAGATAATGGCATCAAGACAAGTGAAATCAAATCGGGAGAGAACGTCCCTGCTTGGAATAGTCGTAGGAATGTGCAGGCCAAGACGGACAAGAATGGTGGAAAAAACTACAGCAGATCGAGGGATGAGGACAAAACCAGTAAATATGTAGAAAATAATTTGGCTATTAACTGTCAGGCTGATCAGACAACTAATAAAGTAAAAGATCGACCCGCTAGACCAAAAACACCAGAAGTTTTGTCCAGAAAACATATCAAGGATAATGTAAGGGTGTCGTCCGGGCAGATAGAGAAAAAGATAGCCAACCGAGGCACTGAGCCACAACCTGGTGCACACAGAATTGAGATAGGTAAACCAATTGTTACAGAGAACAAACAGAAATCTACTAAGAAACCAGAAGTAAAAAGCAAACTTTCACCAATTCCTTCTGAGATCAATACAGCCAGGGAACAGAGACAAAATTTAAAGAAAATTACTGTTGATGTGAAATTTAATTTTGAAGAAGCCGGTTCTAAGCAGGAGAGCCCTAAATCTCCTCCTCCTCCTCCTCGCCCCCCTCAGCCCTCACCTCATGATATTAAGGAGCCGAGGCGGTCCATCAAGAAACACAGATCCCCAAACTCTCCAAGATCAACTGGCTGGCTCAAAGATGTAAGTATTACAAAGTTTATGTTCTCCTATAAATACAACTTAATTTGTTATGCAGCATGTTACCAACCCTTGTGCAAAAATAGGCACACAGAACAAGGACGTTGAAATGGACCTAAAACTTCACTCTATTATAAAAGTAGTTTTTATCATGTGCAGAATGCATGAAACAACTTCATCTCAATAACCCATCGGCCTAGGGTGATAATTTGGCAAGTAGCATGCTTGGATGAAGAGCTACCAGGTTTGTTCAAATGAATGACCTTGACCCACTCTCAATGTCATAGGTGTCAAATGTTTAAAAAACAACTTCTTTTTAATAGCCAAATGTCCCATGGTGATGATACTTAACCAGTAGTGTGCTGAGATGATATTAAACCAGTAGTGTGCTGAGATGATATTGAACCAGTAGTGTGCTGAGATGATATTAAACCAGTTGTATACTGAGATGATATTTAACCAGTAGTATGCTGAGATGATATTGAACCAGAAGTATGCTGAGCTGATATTGAACCAGTAGTATACTGAGATGATTTTTAACCAATAGTACACTGAGATGATATTTAACCAGTAGTATACTGAGATTATATTTAACCAGTAGTATGCTAAGATGATATTGAACCAGTAGTATGCTGAGATGATATTTAACCAGTAGTATGCTGAGATGATATTGAACCAGTAGTATACTGANGTATACTGAGATGATATTTAACCAGTAGTATACTGAGATGATATTTAACCAGTAGTATACTGAGATGATATTTAACCAGTAGTATACTGAGATGATATTTAACTTGAGATGATATTTAACCAGTAGTATATTGAGATGAATTTTAACCAATAGTACACTGAGATGATATTTATCCAGTAGTATACTGAGATGATATTTAACCAGTAGTATACTGAGATGATATTTAACTTGAGATGACATTTAACCAGTAGTATACTGAGATGATATTTAACTTGAGATGATATTTAACCAGTAGTGTGCTGAGATGATATTGAGACAGTAGTGTGCTGAGATGATATTTAACCAGTAGTATGCTGAGAT